CACTCTCGTTGGTCAGTTCATCTCATGCAAACCTTGATACAAGTTGATAAGACATCAAATCAACGATACTGTTTCCGCCTATATGAGCATGTATTCGAGAGACACAATTCTGTGCCAATGGCAACAGTCGAAGTGGCCTAATTACTCATAATTCTCCACTAAAATGCCGATGAGGAAAGGTTTTTCTTTAGCCCGTTCTGACAAAGTGATACCCTAGCCAGTCATCATGGAATCAAAGGGTGTCACCAAGTGCTTTAATGATCACCCAAGTAAATAAATGAAAATATGACATCAAATTATATCACTAAGATACCATTACACAAATAATTTTGTATGTAGACTTTGATCTCAAGATCTAACTTGATCTGTTGATGCCGAGTGGAAATTAACACTTGTAATAAAACTTGTATGGACGTGAATTTCATGACTATAAAATGTGAAATCATTTCTTGATAAAATCATCAGCCTCTTAAAATGCAAGTCAAACTCTTTTTATAAGATGATGTACCTGATTGGTTTTTCAGAGAATACATCAGTAATTCACTAATTAAAAGACTAAATAGTCAATACTACCTGCTTGGTGAATATGTTCAGGAAATAACTAATAAAGAGACACGATTTTAATTAAAATATTCTGGGAGATTATGCCCTGGAGCAACTCTTTTAATTACCCTCATTTATATTTCCAAAAATTAAAAACCCAGTACACAGTAACTTTGGCTTAAAATAAAATGTTAATTATAATATAAGAATCAATATGAGTTTGTGATTACATTGAATCAGAATTCAAAAATCGTAAACAGTTAGTGAACTACATTTTAGGATTTATGTACTCTATAGTCTAGGTTGCTTATTCAGTTAATTTACTCTCTTTGTATACACCTTAAACACAGTAAAAGTATCAAAAGTAGTGTAAATTACATTTACATCACAGTATATGGACACAAGTGCCTAATGTCAGTTCAAGGAATTGGGTATAATGTCTGTTTTATCAAAGATATGGTTATTTTGGACCAAAGGCCATAAAATTGGGAACTGAAACTGTGGATGACAGTTTCATTAGAACACAGAAATAAAGATAAGCAGGTTTTAGCAGTACAGAGAGAGAGAGATAAGAATGAACAGGTTTAAACAGTACAGAGAGAGAGATAAGAATGAACAGGTTTAAACAGTAGAGAGAGAGAGATAAGGATGAACAGGTTTATACAGTACAGAGAAAGATAAAAATGAACAGTTTCATTAGTACACAGAAATAAAGATGAACAGATTTATACAGTACAGAGAGATAGATAGATAAAGAAGATCAGGTTTAAACAGTACAGAGAGAGATAAAGATGAACAGGTTTAAACAGTACAAAAAGAGAGAAAGATGAACAGGTTTAAACAGTAGAGAGAGAGATAAGGACGAACAGGTTTAAACAGTACAAAAAGAGAGATAAGCATGAACATGTTTAAACAGTACAGAAAGAGAGAAAGATGAACAGGTTTAAACAGTAGAGAGAGAGATAA